TGGGAAGGAGTATCTTTGTAGAATTTTTCAGCACATCTTTATTGGTTGACTTACAGCAGCAAGGATAGAAAGCGAGATAGCTTTTTAGACTAGGAGGGCAGATTGTGATTCTAGTGTATTTGGAGAAAACTGCTGTTCAGATACCCTGTTCAGTCACAATTATCCTGGGTAGCTTTAGGTAAGACCTGGCTAAGGATTGGACTTGATCCCCATATTCAGTAGCACCTATTGACAGAAGATGTCTTATTAGTATGTAAACTTCATGATGTTCCTTTTCTTATTGTTGTATAAATGTCTGTAGTTTGTAAGTGCTTGCTAAACTACTTGTGTTAACCCAGCTGCCTGATCTGGGCCATGTGGGCTCACTTACCTTTTGTAGAAAGGCATTAATTTATCTGCTTTCTTCCCTTTTCAACAGAAGAACAGGCTGGATCTTTTAAAGATCTTGGACACTAGTGGAGCCTGGTTGTTGAGAGAATACAGTGTTAAGTGTAACCAAATGGAAACTTACAGTATGTTCTTCAGCATAATAGTGGAATGAAGGACATGGTGCCATAAAATATATGATATGCTCACTTACCTTGACTAGGCATTTATGCCTTGAGGTTTTTTTTCCACATCTGTGAAATGCATTTACCTACCTACTCACAAAGCTGTTTTTCAGTAAGGACACAACAAGCAATTTGAAATATTGTCAACAAATCTTGGAAGTCTTTTAATTGTACTCTGAAACGTGCAGAGTATTTGACTATATTTTTAGTCCATATAAGTGAACTGATTGGAGTTGATTCCTTTCAGATCCCACAGGACTGTATCAGAGTACAATAATACACCTCTCAAGTGCTCCATCTGTGGATGATAAGACAGGGTTCAAGGGCAGTTTCTGGCAGAGGAAGCCCTGTAACAAACAAGAGAGTTAATTATTTGTAGCTTACATTGTGTTCTTGGCTCCTTCATTGAAAAACAATATGTTTCTTAACAATCAAACACAACACAAGTTTCAGTTGAGGACTTAAACTTGCGAACTAAATTAATAATTTTCTCAGAAATTGCCCTATCTGTTTTAAAGAGCTACTATAATTTCAGCATACTGATTCTCAGTTGTTCTTACATGTGATATTGTGAAACAGTGTTTAATACTAACAAAAAGAAACCATGCCACCATGTCATGAAACTATAAAAGTAAACACTCTGTTCCCACATTTCAGCTGCAGTCTGTGGAGTTTGTAGTGACTGATCAAGACTCATGTATGCATAGTTGGAATAGTCTTTCATGTAGATAAGGAATCATTGATTCATACGAGGAAAGCAAAACACAGTCAAGCAGCCCTAGGGTTTCTGTCTTCCAGTTCTTCAAATTTAGGCAGACTAATTTGCATATTGATGAAATTAATATTTGCAGTCTTACTTGCATAATATGCATTTTTGATAGCATACACATTTTAACCAGTAGCTTTCATTGAGCCAGTATGATATAATGCTTAGTATTGAACTTAAAATAAGGATACCCAAACTCAAATCTGAGATTAGTCACTAAGCATCCTTAGGGGTCTGAAGAAGAGAACTTGTCCATGAAATCTCCCATTAAACTATGGCAGTTAGTCTTTAAGGTGCCACAGTGTTTTTGTCTTCTTTATTTTATTTTTTTCTTCTTTTATTTTTGTCTGACAACTTATCAGAGGAACAGATGCTGAATAGATTGGGTCCTCATGAGAGCAAGTACAGTGATGTAGAGAGAAAAGTGATATGGGTTGTGTCACTAATGCTAAGATGAAAGATGTGCTAGGACATGCTTAGTATTGAACTTGAAATAAGGATACCCAAATTCAAATCTGAGATTAGTCACTAAGCATCCTTAGGGGTCTGAAGAAGAGAACTTGTCCATGAAATCTCCCATTAAACTATGGCAGTTAGTCTTTAAGGTGCCACAGTGTTTTTGTCTTCTTTATGTTTTAATTTTTGTTTTGTTTTCGCCTGACATGCTAAACATCCTTTGTGTTGTCGGGACAACCTCTCATCCAAACCTACCTTACAGGGCTGCTTTCAGCATAAAATGCATAGAAGAGAACCATGTAAAGCAGCTATGTACATGGCTGCTGCAGATAAAAAAAGATGGAATGATGTTTCACACACACGTGAACTTACGTTAATACTGTCATGAGATGGCTGTTGTTTTTACCATCAGTTTTGATCCATGATGAAAACCTCCTACAGCTACTACAGCAAGCCCCCACAACTGGCACCCTGTCATCTGATCTGCAGGGTAAAAGGCAGGGTAAAATAATGGCAACTTGCAGAAATTAGGGGAAAACACTAGGTAGCATTTCCTTCACAAAGAGAGATAAAATATATTATTATAATGAGAAAATATCCCAGCTGAACTTTCTTTACCTTATTAGATATTAGTTAGTTAGTTAGCCATCCTTCAGTCTCGAAAGACTATGGTAATGTGCTCTGAATAGAGGTCCTGGAACAGCATCTAGTGTGGCTCAGGAGGCCAATTTGGGAGTGACAATCCCTTCCACACTGAAGACAATTCCAATCTGTCCCCTGTCCAGCTCGCTGATTTTGTTGCTTTCGTGACTGCCTCTTTGCCTCGACCTGCTGGACTTGGGAGAGGACGTGATGCAATGCCTGCCTCCCGGCTGAACGTTCAGATGTCAGGGTTTCCCATCTGTTGGGCTCCATTCCTAAGGCCTTCAGGTCCCGCTTGCAGATGTCCTTGTATTGCAGCTGTGGTCTCCCTCTGGGGCGATTTCCCTGCACTAATTCTCCATACAGGAGATCTTTTGGAATCCGACCATCAGCCATTTTCACAATATGTCTGAGCCAACGTAGGTGTTGCTGTTTCAGTAATGTATACATGCTAAAAATTCCAGCTCATTCTAGGACTACAGTACTCTATTTGGAACTTTGTCCTGCCAGGTGATACCAAAAATGTGTTGGAGGCAACACATATGGAAGGTGTTCAGCTTCCTCTCCTGTCTTGCACAAAGGGTCCAGGACTCACTGCAGTACAGGAGTGTTCTCAGGACACAGGCTCTATAGACCTGGATCTTGGTGTATGCTGTCAGCTTCTTATTAAGCCATACTCTCTTTGTGAGCCTAGAGAACACGGTAGCTGCTTTGCCAATGCGTTTGTCCAGCTGAGCATCTAGGGAGAGGGTGTCAGAGATGGTTGAGCCAAGGTACACAAATTCATGAACAACCTCCAATTCTTGCACGGAGATGGTAATAGATTTTACAAACAAACAAATTTTACTATTAGATTTTACAAACACACATTCATATATGGGAAAAAGCAGGCGCCAATCCAATGTGACATCTTCTAAAAACCTATTAGCTGCTGTTTTGTTTCACTGTTTTGGACCATAGCATAGTAACAAATGTGATCCATAGCAACATTTCAAACTGTTCTTCTTGGACTGCATCATCCAGAGACCCTTGGCAAGAATAGTTGTGAGCATGTTAGCTGGGAAATAAAATGATCTTGCCATCTTTTGCTTCCTCATAAGCCCAAATATATTGGTGTTCTATGCAAAATGACTGATGTGTAATGCAGTAGGATACACCTAATGCAGTAGAATACATGTCTTTTTAAGCAGTTGAAAGGGCCATAATAAGCTCTCAAGATAAATTAATGCATAAATAGTTATTTAAAAAGAACTTTATCATTTCCTTTTCCTTGTTTTATCTCTTTCCAGAAATATAACATTCACAACAGCTATAAGCTTGCCCTGAACAACAAATAGAAGCTTCTGATTATTTATAATAAATTCTCCCCCCAACCCAGCAAAAAAAAAACCCTCTTGGTTTCTTCAAGGCAGCACCCACCATAACCGCCAATTAAGGTTTGGCATACATATGAAAGATAAAAGATAACTGTTGTTTCTGGAAGGCTATAGCATCATATATTCAGAGTGCTGTAGACCCCTTATCCAGATGCATTTTTAAAATATATGATCGGAAATAATTGTCTAATTTCATTCTGAACTTAATCCTTTTTTGGGGGAAATAAATGCCAGCTGTAACAAACACAGGTTTTTGATTTTTCCTTACAGGTCTAAAATTCTATAGGGCTCTTAGGGAGATGTTTAGACATCAGACTCTCTGACCTAACATTTTTAGTGAGTTAGCCAGGTGGATCAGGTAATGAGATACCAATCATATACTGTTCTGGGTCTGATTAATGTTCCATCAGTAACATTTTAATTTTGCATTACCTTGGGAGACAAACCCTATAAAAAGGAGGCTGTTCACAATTAACTGAAAGAAGAAGGTCTTCTTATGTAAAGTAATTTTGGAAGAGCCACAAGATAGGCAAAATTGTTCATAACTTATTTAACCAGATGATGAAAATTCTGGAAGACCCTTAAGCTATGAAATTGCCACCTTAATGATGTTTAAGAGAAAGATCTCTCTCTCACACACACACACACACACACATCTGTGAAAGGGAAGTGCTACTGTTACAGACAGATGAAAACAGTTCAAAGCGAAGAAATTCTTACCACAGCAACTACAGAAAAAGTTGCACTTGTCTACAAGGACACTGTATACCAGTGGTTCTTAACCTTGGGTAACCCAGGTGTTCTTGGACTGCAGTTCCCAGAAGCCTTCACCCGCTGTGCTGGTTGGGGCTTCTGGGAGTTGCAGTCTAAGAACACCTGGGTTACCCAAGGTTAAGAACCACTGCTGTATACTTCTGAATGGTGGTATAGCATAAATTCATAGTCACAGAACTTCAATGCAATAGACTGCACAACAATATGTAAGCAGACAGACTTCAAGAGGTAAATTACAGTTCATGTTCAGCACACCAGACACTTGGTCTGCAAAAATTTCATTCTTCCTAAAATTGAAAAGAAGGTAGCTGGATATCAGTATTTTTTGAAAAAATAAATGAACTGGGTGCAGACAGATGTCCTCAAGTGGATTGCCTGTTTGGTAGATGACTAGTGCTTTCTGATTTTTTTTCTCTTTCTCCCCCTCCTATTCAGCTTGGTATTGCGGTTGGTTTCCTCCTCCCACCAGTTCTGGTTCCAAATTCAGAAGATAAAGAGAAGCTGGCCCATCATATTGGCATCATGTTTTTCATGACAGCAGGTGTAGCAACAGCACTTTTCCTCTTAGTAATCTTTGGTAAGTTAAAAAAAAGTTTAAATGAAGTAGAAGTGGAGGCTGAGCTAATAAATGAAGTCAGGCCAGTGTATGAATTTCTGGAACATGTATTTCTCTTTTTGACCACTATTTCTTATAAATTCATAGCGCACAGGAGTATTATTAGCCACTATGAACACAGAGGGATTCAAACTCAGACTTTTAAGAATTATGTGCTTGAAGTCTTAGGCTCAGAGAAAGGAATGTGGCAGTTTTGGTTTCTCCTTCATTCAGATTTTTTGAATCTCAGGTTCTTTGCATCATAAAGAAGAAGAAATTGTGAATTTTTGTAATTTCTTATAAAAATGAATTGAAACAAATTTCTTACACAACTATACTCAGTACCCAAACTGATTTTTCTGTGGGACATAGCCCTCCATTTAAAAAGTCCTTCCTATACCATGTATGGTACTTTGAAGTTTACAGAGTCATACAGATAACACTGCCTCATTGTACTGGTTATAACAGTCTTCATGGTAGGTCAGTATTGCTGTGTTCTGTAATGCAGATGGGATCCCTGACAAGTAACATGACACCTAGTTTGGCCCCAAAGTACTGATATCCAGGTTGGTCTCACTTTACACATTTTTATGTTCCAGCTGTGGTCTTAAACATTCACCTCATGTATAGCCCATTGTCAGCATGCATGAACAAACGTACTTCTGTTCCATAATTTTTGCTGCCTGTCTCATGTATAGCCCATTGTCAGCGTGCATGAACAAACATACTGTACTTCTGTTCCATAATTTTTGCTGCCTGTGTCTCTGTAAGCCTCTCTGAGAGTCTGGCAAATACCCATTCCTTTGGTCCTGATTTCTGTTCCTGTGCTTCTCTTTTCCCATTCCACCTTAACCAGTGTTCCAAGAAAAGCCTCCATATCCTCCAAGTCGGGCTCAGGCCATGATTCATACAACAGCACCTGAAGAGTATTCCTATACGAAATCTATTGTTCGGCTGTTTCGCAATGTCAACTTTGACCTGCTGATAGTCAGTTATGGTAAGGTTCCTGCCTTGCTTGAGGTAAAGGTAAAGGTAAAGGTTCCCCTTGACAATTTTTGTCCAGTCGTGTTCGACTCTAGGGGGCGGTGCTCATCCCCGTTTCCAAGCCATAGAGCCAGCGTTTGTCCAAAGACAATCTTCCGTGGTCACATAGCCAGTGCAACTTAGACACGGACTGCTGTTACCTTCCCACCAAGGTGGTCCCTATTTATCTACTCACATTTGCATGCTTTTGAACTGCTAGGTTGGCGGGCGCTGGGACAAGCGACGGGCGCTCACTCCGTCGCGTGGATTCGATCTTACGACTGCTGGTCTTCTGACCCTGCGGCACAGGCTTCTGTGGTTTAGCCCGCAGCCCACATCCCCGCCTTGCTTGAGAAGATAATCTAAAATGATAGTTTCCCCTCTTATTTAATCTTTTTATTGAATACTTGACAACTTTATTAGCAATAATCATAACAATTCTTTGCTTTTTCAGGTGGTTAATTGTTTGTTTGTTAATGCATTCGCCTTTCTTATGGTGCTGCATGGATAATATTGCTCTACAATACTCTTAGTGAGACCTGGGAACATTTTATCCCTGTAATCTTTTCCTCTTTCATCTGCCATTTTCAGCATTTTCCCTCTGTGTTTCTGCTTCTTTCATTTTGTATTGAGCAAAATTGTGCTTACTAATAACTGAATCTCTTTGTTAAAACAATGTGAAACTGTCTACGCTCAGAATCTTCCTTCCTTCCACCCACCCAACCTGGTAAAGTAAACAATTCAGAATTTATTACTTGCTAAAAAATGTAGCCAGTGCAGAATGGATTGAAAAATTTTAAATGGTGTGGGGCAGGGAGATGAGAAATGTTAATATAATATTTTTGGGATGTGTGTGTTGTAGAAGTAAATGCAGCCTTCCAAAGATGGGTGTGAATGCCCCCCCCAAGCCTTTCAAAGTTACCTAGTTCTGATCTAGAGGAAGTGGGATTAAAACCATTAAGTCATATACCTCAAATTATCTTTCCACACCATAATATGTCTGGGTTGTTTGGAGTTCTTTTTCTGAATCCCAGATATCCTGATATGTCATTTTTCAGAGTTTTTGTTCCTGTTTTGCCTCATCCATTTAGGTCGAATACCCAAGAGTGCCCTCTTTCCTCTTCATGCATATATGTTGCTCTTTGCAGTACAATTCATTGCTAGAGACAGTCATCATATTGTTTTGCTTCTTATACTTCTGAGTACAGTAGATAGAGAAGCAGAATTCTCTCTCTCTCTCTCTCTCTCTCTGTGTGTGTGTGTGTGTGTGTGTGTGTGTGTATCCTTGTAACTCAAAAGGATGCAATTTGGAAAAAATAGGCAGGGATCAGTTACTGATTAAAGTAATTGAAAAGGACAGAAAACTGATCTTCCTGAGAGAGTCTGTCACATTGGGGGCCTTCAGTGACCCTGATACTGCCAGTTAGCAGGGATGTTTAGTCTTTTGCAGGCTATATTATTGAAAAAGAGTAATCCTCAGTGATGAGTCTGTCTTCACAAATAAGGGGGTTTCAGGCATGTCGAGAGAGAACAACAAGAATCAAATATTTTATAGATCCTGGAGTATATAAAAGGAAGGCGTTCTTTTCTTTTTCCTGCCAGAATACTATATTCCAATTCATGAGGTCTATGGGCTGCTTTGTGCTCCCTAAGAACAGCACTGGCCTGTCTTTAGGAGCACCATGGCTCTGCCCAGAGCTAATGCTATGTAGTAATGATGGGAAGATTTTATTTTTATTTTTTTTTTGCTATCCAGAACAAAGAGTTTAAGGCAACTTAAAATCAAGAAGGGAATAAAACATCACAAAAGGCACAACTAAGGGACTGTCTACAGGTTATAATGTGAGTCGAGGATGTGTGGCTCCCCAGACATTCACAAAAAAATTTAAGTCATAGAATTAATAGAGTTAGAAGAAACCCTAAGGGCCATCCAGTCCAACTGCACAGGTAATAAGTTTGTTGCATTTTCCAAATGATAGCCCTTCAAATATTCGGAAGATTGCTATCCTAGCACCTCTTAGGCTTCTCTTTCCCAAGCTAAACATGCCCAGTTCTTTTAAATGTTTCTCATGGTGCTTAGTTTCACATTCTTGGTTACTTTCCTTTGGACATGTTCCAGCAGGCTTATACCCTTCCTAAACTGTAGTACCCAGAGCTGGACAAGTTTTCCAGCTGAGGTCTGACTGAAGCTGAACAGAGTGGTAATGTGGTTGCTTTCGACCTAAATGTTATACTGTTATTGATGTAGGCTAATATTGCTTTATGGTGTCTTGTTGCCAGCACCAGCTTGGGAACGACTCTCTTGGTTGATGATAAGCCAGTCATCTTGGAGGTGATTTGACTGACAGATGTTTCCTTGGTGCAAATTGAAGAGGATCCTAACAAAACCTACATTATCATCAAGTCTTCCCACAACCCCAACACCACAGTCGTGCCTAGTGCTCAGACCTTTCAAGGAGTAGCATCAACATCTTGTTGATGTTGACCACAAGATCTGAAATGAAGAACCAAAAGATACTGCTGTTTATTGCAAGGGCTGAGCACCAAGCAAGTCTTTGGTGCTGCAAGAGAACTTACTTTATTTATTTTATTTAAAATATTTTTAGAAATAAAATGACTTGGGTCCAAGCTGTCTAAAAAAGATTACATCTCCCTCTATGAACCTGCCCAGAGATTAAGATCATAAGGAGAAGCCTTTCTCTCAGTCCGACCACCTTCACAGGTGCATTTGGTGGGGAAATGGGAGAAGGCCTTCTCTATGGCTGCTCCCAGACTTTGGAGCTCTCCCCCATAGGAGGCCAAACTGGCCCCATCTTTGCTGACTTTCTGCAAGCAGGCAACGTCCTTTCTCTTCAGGCAGGGTTTTTAAAAATTGATTGTTGAGCTTTGTTGTTTTGAGTATTGATTTCATTGACCATTTTAAATATAATGCTTGTTTAATTCTTTTTAACTATTTGTATGCTTACTATTTATAAGCTTTTTAATATTGTCTTTTAATTGTAAGCTGTCTTGGGTCCTTTTGGGGAGAAATGTGGGGTAAAATATTTTAAACAAACAAACCAATGTTGTTGGAATGCCATTATCAGCAAGCCTACCTGCGTAACCAGTGATGAGGAATCGTGGGAGTAGCAACCCAACAACATCCTCCATCCCTGAATTACAAGATGGATGCTAAAATATGTGAGGAATTTACTGTCTGGATCTTCTTGATTGCATGGGGATAGAGGTGACATTACAGTGATGGGTAACCCTGTGAATTTATAGCAAGGAAACTTTCCATAGGATCAGAAGTGACTACATGCCTAGACATGATAGCAGCTCCTAATGTCAAAACTGCTTCTCTAATGTGTGGCATTGAAACTGCCCCTAATAAGCTTTGTTGTATAGTCGTTAAGTCATGTCCGACTCTTCGTGACCCCATGGACCAGAGCACGCCAGGCCTTCCTGTCTTCCACTCCCTCCCAGAGTTTGGTCAAATTCATGTTGGTCGCTTCGATGACACTGTCCCTCCATCTCATCCTCTGTTGTCCCCTTCTCCTCTTGCCTTCACACTTTCCCAACATCAGGGTCTTTTCCAGGGAGTCTTCTCTTCTCACGAGATGGCCAAAGTATTGGAGCCTCAGTGTCAGGATCTGTCCTTCGAGTGAGGATTCAGGGTCATTTCCTTCAAAATGGATAGGTTTGTTCTCTTTGTAGTCCAGGGGACTCTCAAGAGTCTCCTCCAGCACCACAATTCAAAAACATCAATTCTTTGGCAGTCAGCCTTGTTTATGGTCCAGCTCTCACTTCCATACATCGCTACTGGAAAAACCATAGCTTTGACTATGTGGACCTTTGTCATCAAGGTGATGTCTCTGTTTTTTAAGATGCTGGCTAGGTTTCTCATCGCTTTCCTCCCAAGAAGCAGGCGTTCTTTAATTTCATGGCTGCTGTCACCATCTGCAGTGATGATGGAGCCCAAGAAAGTAAAATCTGTCACTGCCTCCATATCTTCCCCTTCTGTTTGCCAGGAGGTGATGGGACCAGTGATGGGAAACTGCCCCAAAGAAGCTACTATATTGTATATTCACGACTTTGATTCTTATACAAAATTTGGAGGTTTATTGGGAAAATTTGCTGGTGGTGGAAATAGCAACTTAAGGAGGAACAATTTTCTTTTCACTGGCACTGCAGCAAGGAAAGAAAGGATTAAACCCCTCCATCTGTTAAAAGCCTGGTATTATTAGAAGAGATGAGAAAAGTAAGGTGTTTTTTTTACTACAGCTGTCAGAACACCTTGCAGGGAAGAATTTTGGTGAATGGAATTTCAAAAAAAGGGTGCCTTTTCATCTCTTATTATGAGGGTCTCAACACATGTTCTGGCCTTAATACATGCCGAGTTACATATTGGCCATCTGGCTAAAGTCACATTCAGTCCATGCTTCCATTCATTATTCAGTCTTTAACAACAGTGAATATACTCAAATACTAACTGCACAAGAATGATGAACAGGACACTGAATAACTGGTGTAGATGAAGTGAAAAGACAATGAAACACTAGGCTTTCCAGGTGGCAAATTCATTCAGCTACGGAACATCAAGCTGAATAAGAATAAATGTTTTTTTCCTGGAACAGAAAATCAAAGCATGACAACAAAAAAGGTCATGTCTGATCAGTTGACAGCAGATCTGTAGAAGGAAATATTGAACTAGTTTTAATTGTGAACATGGGGGAGAGGGTAATATAACAAATAATATGCAATTGGGGCACAATCGCTCCTCCTAATCCTGACTGTTATTTCCACTTAAAAATATGCATGGTAAACGCAAATATAGCTTCAGTGTCATGTCTGCTATAGTTTTGACAGAAGTTGCTCCTGCTGTCTTTGAAAGACATCTTTCCTCTTAATGCAAGGAAAGTCAGGTATAAATAACATTACTGTTATCTAAATGGAAGGAATTGACTTTTGTCTTGACAGCTTCTTTACTAAAAT